GTAGGAATTGTCAATACGATTTGCGACCGATCGGTAGCATAGAAGAGAATAATACAAATTAATATATTAAGAATAATAGATAACAATAAAAAATTTGTAGTAATAATAATTAACAATTAATAACAATATGCTCTGAGCTGCGCGTATTGTGTGTATGTGGTGGTGAAACTTAGGAATCAGTAGTTGTATAATAATCATTATTGGTTGTGAAAATTGTGGGTTGGTAAATTTCCCTTGTCCTCTTTTGTTTATGCTTAACTGAGATCTTATGAACTGCTTCTTCGTGATATAAGGTTATGGTGTTGTTCGCTACTTTTGTTCGTTCTTTTCCAATAATCTGAGGACAGTACAGGTGTGTAAGTGTGCAAAAGGGATACCTAACCCTTTTTCACAGTTGCATGGTACATAATAGAAAGGAATCAAAAGGATTCAGAGGTTTATGACGATGCTTCTCACTCTCTGCTTCGAAAGGTAATGGTATCAGGTTTCGGTCGTCTATTGCAATTTTTCTCGGAGAAACAAAGAGTTGTGTGTGTGGCTGTGTCATCGTTTAATTTTATGTGATGTTAACAGTCAGACAGTAACTATTGGGCTTGAATGCGGTCGTGTAAACCTGAGACACAGACACTCAAGGTGTATTCTCATGGTAGCAGCACTCACAGGGCCAGGACAGAGCACCAGTCTGTACATGTGCAAGGGATCTTCGGAGCACCCGCCTTACGTTTATTTGCAATCTACGCGCTAGAGGAACTTCGTCTCTCCCTCTCCGCTCGTTTACATGGTGAAGGATTAATTTCAAGGGGTTAAAAACTTATACACCCTGTCCTGGGGCAAGTTCAGATGTATTGGGTTTCGGCAAAGGGTACGACAGTGGGTGAGTGGAGAAGAAATTCCCGTAAGGAATACAACAGTGTGTATGAGTCAATAAGGAAACGAAAATTGTATTCTTCTAAGAGTCAAAAAGTCTAAAGCAAGGGCAACCCTAGCTCGTCTGAAAGGTTTCTAGATTCAACTGAGGTCGATACGGTGTATTGCACTCTATTTAGTTGCCCTCCTTAGGATATTTCATACCTTAATAACTACTAATTTGAGGAGGGACTGCGTGTGACTTCAGAGAAAGGGGTGTCGAAGAGTAACGTAGGGTGCAAGCAAGAGTAGTCGTCCAACCTTCGTATCACCTCATGTTTTTATTGAACAATGACATGAATTCATTAAAAAGACCATAGTTCATGAAATGAGGTGATGATATAGAAAGACTGGTGACAACTGAAGATGGTACAACTTGGGTTTATTGACATGAAAGTATTGAAGAGTGACAACTTTTTATGACATGAAATGATGTAGAATGTACAACTTGGTTTATGGGACATGGACAAGATGAAGAAAGTAACTGAGTTATTGGACATGAAAAGGATTGAAGGAATGTACAACTGTGTTTATGGACATGAAAAGAGAGAATGTGAAACTGTGTTATGGACATGATGAAAGATGAAGAAAATGTGAGGGAAGTGTGAGTGTGTTATGTGACCTGGAAGAAGATGAAGGAGTGTACAGACTGTGAGTTGGTGATGGACATAAAGCTGAAGAATGTACAACTTGTGTTTATGGACATGAAAGATGAAGAATGTGAAACTTGAGGTGTATGGACATGAAGGCAAAGTGAAAGTGTACGAACTTGCAGTTGTATGGGACATAAAGATCGAAAGTGTATCAACTGTGAGTTTATCGGACATTAAAGATGAAGAGAATGTGAAACTTGAGTTTATGGCAGCAGTGAAAGGATGAAGAGTGTGACAACTTGGAGTTATGAGCAGTGAGAAGAGTGTAAGAGTGGGTACAACTTGAGATTTCGTTTGTGGATGGACATGAAAGATGAAAGAATGTGAAACTTGAGTTTATTGGACATGGAAAGCTAGAAATGTACATTGAAGTTTATGGACATGGAGGAAGGATGAGAAAGTACAACTTGAGTTAATAAAGATTGAAGTAATGTGAACTGGAGTTTATGGACATTGAAAAGATGTGAAGGTGGTACAACTTGNTATGATCAGTCTACCAGGATCAAAATTAAAACTAAATATCGTTCCAGGCTAACCAATGAGCACCTGCATGTGTGTAGGAGAATGGCCCTGACACCATTTCAGCCCAGATTTAAACTCCTGGCACAACAAGCTCAAGCTCAATTCTCACACTGAACAAAAAAAAGTGAGTGAGGGACTGCAATATAAGAGGGAAAGAAAGAGAAACTTTAAAACTGTTCAATTGTTATGATGTGTAAAGACTGATATTGTTCTATAATCGGCTGAAACTGTTAGGTCATGATGTGAAACGGTCAACAACGAAAAAGGGAAACTCCAGCTGCTGCTACACTTTATTTTATTTATCTAAAATTAAGCACTTTAAGATGCACACATTTTCAAAAGCTATTTTATTTTTAAATGCAGCCCGAGAGGAACATTACACATATCCACAGTATTTACTGTATATCTGTATAGTTCAATGTTAATTGACAATAAATATTGTTGTTTATGAATTGTACTTCCTTTATTTGATTGGCAGTCAGTTGTTGATTACATGTATATATGTATATATCACACTAATTCATAAAGCAAGTTAGACATTTTGATGTTCCGGACCTTTGCATGGGGAGATTTTCTCTAACTGGACCTCGTTGAATTTTAGTTGAATACCCCTGCTGTAGATGAACACAAAAAACTCTAGATTTTCAGACAGAGAAGCGGCAAACGCACAAAGCGAGCTTCCTCTCACCCAGTGTTGCTTGATAAGCTTCCAACGTCCAGCTGAAAGTCTTACAACCTACAGTTCCACATATCAGGAAAATAATTTGACTAGCAAACAACCACTCGCTGTGGCTCGGTCTCTACCACCATTCGACTGTTGGCAAATTAACCCTTTAATTGCCAGACCAAGAAAATAATTTATGGAAAAATTCTTTCTATGCATTTTTTTAATCAAATGGGACACAAATAACCACAAACCATTTTTTTTTTTTTTTACTGACAACACAGTTTTGTTTTTATGAGCCTCTACCAACTGGTCGAGCTGGCCTTCTAAGGTAAAAGTGCATTTTCAACAATCATCATACAGTAGGCTACACACTCTAAAAAGTCATTCAGGGGACCTTTTACCATCACTTAGTTAAATGCATGGTTGTAAGATAAAAAATTGAATTAATTGATATGGATATATATTTTAAGTTGCAAACATTAATTTATAAGTTGTGTTGACGTAGTAATGTTGGTAATTAAATCGACTTAATATTGTGTCATAATTGAAACTTGAATTGCTGCGTTAATTGACTCAAAACAAAATTCAAGTTGTAGTAAGTAATGCAATTGGCTTGAAAACTGAATTTTTAAGGATTAGAAGGCCTGGAAACTTCTGGTGGAAGCTGGGGCCGTTCGTTGAAGTCACTATGGAGAGCTCTTCGACCGCTTGGAATTGAAGACCCCATTAAAAAGCAGTTGGCCAACACCCTATAGGTAAACAGATTGCAACAACCCTAATCGTACTTTTGCATATGGGTTAGTCACATTTTTATATTAGTTTATATATATTTTTTGTACATTTTAAAATTAAATACAAATATGTTCAGCCTTGAAATTCCTGTATCCTACTGGCTGTAACGTATTTTACTATGCTATGCTAAATACATCCATAACAGCTGACTGACCGCCAAGTAGGTAGCCGTGTTTGTTATAATAGTCTGCTCCTGTCCTAAAATCAGGGCCGCCCTCCCTACATGCAGATCAAGCAGACTGCGCCTCATCACATAACTTTGCATGTGGCCACAAGTTGGCCATGGGCTGCCCCGCCTAAATACAAATGTTTCCAACAGTGGAGGATCAACCCTTGTTGAAAAGATCACCTTACCGAGAAGAACCAGCCTGACAGAGTTATTAATTTTCAACTGTAAACTTTAAGGGACACATATCTTTTTTTAAGCAATTGAGACTCACTGTGTTTGATGTTTAAATTTGTTTTTGCTACTCATCAGATAGTCATTGGTTTTCATCGATGCCCATCAGACAGTAGTCTTGTACATTACTTTATATATTATGAAAGTCTACTTGAAACGTAACTAAGTATATTTGCTAAAGATCTTAAGTACAAAATGCTTTTTTTCCATTTAAAGCTACTTAATACTTGTATTCCATTACATCCCAGATGAAGATATTCTAATAATTACACTTCCTTGTATGATTCTTGCCCACTGAAAACTGTCTCAAAATGTGGTTATTTGATTTTGGATCTAAAAGTACCTAAATACATTTTTCTTTATGTGTTCTTTAGGCTACTTGAATTACCTAAAAATCCTCTAGTATACGTTGGAAAGTGCAAAGCTAAAAACATAGTTGTATTTATGAGCTCACCCAGCCATTTAGGAAACTACAATACAATTGAGGTGTACTGTAGTACTTCGAGCTGTTTTAGCACTACTAACATGGGCCTCATTCCCCAACTGTTCTTCAGAAGAAATCAACCACTTAAACATTTTTAACAAAGATAATTGTATGAAGCTATATGATTTAAATAGCAATGATGCTTTAATAATTGTGTGCAGCGCAAGAACACTGGTACGAACAATTCTGCTGTTTAGGAACACATACTTGAGACTGACGGAGATTTCTCGGGACATTTATTCAGAACACATTTTAAAAAGGTAGCAAGACCTTGGTGAACGAGGCCAGATGTCACATTATTTTTGTGATTTAGTGATACACAGAGAGACATGTTTTAATTAGTTTATATTTAACTGAGCTTATACATCATAATTCATATGAGACAGGCGCATGTTAAATAAGAGAGGAGATTTAGGACATTTGACCAAGTTTACAGGTAAAATTTCAGAAAGTTGATCATACATTTTGATGTCCAATTTTATTCCTCAGTAAAATACATATTCCAATAACGTTTTCAAACGCTGCACTTCTGAACTTCTGATAGTGACCACCCTGAGGCAGATAATGGTGGTGATGTCAGTATGAGCTATAACATAGGAAGTTCCTTTTCTCAGTGCAGTCTGTGATCTCCACTCTGCCCGTGCCATTCTTAGATAAGACCCCGCAGCCCTGCTCAACAGGGGGGCATGGAGGGAGGTGGGAGTACACCAAACTCGCACCGTTCACCCACACCCAATGACCGGCCAGGAAACGGAGGCCTGCCCACACCTAATGAGAGGAAACATTTAATGAACTATTATCATAAAAGTCTCTTAAACTTGACGGGACACCTAGAAAAAGGTTAGTTACAACTCTATGTACTATTCATTTTCAAACCATTTAAGTTAATAATTGTGCATTCCAAGAGCCTAGAAAATCTATTTTTATTTGCATGATGTAATCTCTTTGTGAATGTTATAGGCCATTGAGATCTGGGAAAGAGAGATGCTAACACAGAAGCAAAGCAGAAAGAGAAAGAGAAAGAGAAAAAGCTTTTTTGGCATGTTTGCTAGATTAAAAGCTTTTATCATTATGCACCATCTTGAGTTTGATAATCAGTACTTCTAATAAAGCCATTTGATCCATAAGAAGTGGAAGCAGAGGGGAAAACAAACAAACTTAAGGTGTAACTGTTTTTGTTGTGCTTTGTGTTTTATGGGTTTCTTTTATATATGCATGGTTGTAAATAAAGTGTATGTTGTAACCCAAAGTCGGATTCTACTGTATATAGTTAACTGTGAATAGAAGAAGAATAGCAGACTAGTAGTACAATAAGACTTGGTAAACGTACACAGTTTAAATGCTTTCACTAATCTTTTTTTAATGGATTCCAATGAAAACAGAGAGTGTGCTGTCACGTTTGGCCACCCCAAGATGAAACAAGCACTGAGCTCTCGCCTTTTATGCGAGGCTGCTCCAAGCACTTTGAATTGAAATGATTTCAAGTTTTCGTAACCCTAAATGTTGCAGTCAGTGAGTGTTTGTCGTACGCGGATCATCCTCGCTCTACGACTGTCAGACTAACTGTGAGAAAAAATATCTTCCAGTGGGTGTTCATTGTTAAAAACATTGTCAAACAGGTACATCGTAGCAAACGCAGATGATAAAATAAAGGGCCGAAGCTAGTCTGTCATACAACAGTGGTGATTTGCTGCCAGGATATTGTTGTCATAGAAACAAACAAAAAAAGAAGTGGGAGCGTTTTTTAGATGAAGTGCTGTGAGGAAGTTTTCCCCATCAACCTGCCAGCGCCTTTCTGCCAGAAAAAGGCTCTAAGCGTGTTCCATAGCTGTAAAGCCATTTACATTTCCCTTTTAAATTAGCTCAGAGAAGCAGTGGTTTTTGGAGATATGAATTCAAACTCGCCTCTTTAGTATCGCCCTCTTTGACCTTGTTCATCACGTTATCATGGTCTTCTGGCTGCACGCTGACCAACTCAAAGCGGATGTTGGAATTGTAGGGGGAATTAAGGGCTCTGCAGTGGTCCAGTGCATCCCTCCATGTCTTGTTCTCCTTTACCAGGACCAGGTTGTGCCTGAGGCAGACAAAGGGAAACCGGGTGGAGCAGTTTTGGGTAGCCATCTCTTTGTTTAAGGAGGAGATAGAGACACAATCGCCATTCTTCCCTGGCTCATCTTCTGCCCAATTTCTGAAGTCGGACACTCCTGTGCTCCACCTCCAAGTTTCACCTGAGGAAAATATTTTTTGAAATGTCAGGTGAAGGTCTGTGTGTTTTACTGATGTCAGAAAATCTATCATCCATTCGATCATCAGCTTTATGGCTAAAGACAGTGGTTGAATTGTATGGAAAGAGAAAAACTAATTTAAAAAGAATCTAGCCTTGTATGTGTTTCAGGGGGTGGAGTAAGTGAGTTATCAAATCTTCAGGTAATTGTGATGGTGCTATCTACCAAAAAAAAAACATGATTGGACACGTTTTTAGAATACTGTATATACACAATAGATTAAAAAAAGCACTAAGGTTGCGAAATGTCTATGTGTTTGTCTGTTTACCATCTCTGTGCAGTCCAGTCCAGACTTGAAAGACTTGTTCTTTGACATCGTTATCCAGATCTTCGATACTCCTGAAAGTGGCCAGATCAGTAAACTCCCTCTTGCAGTACTGAAAGGCTTCTGACCAAGTCTTTGACTGTAGTATTAGTTCGTAATCTAAGTGGTTACCGTGTGGATGGTGACAGAAGAAGAAGTAATAGGTTTCACATCTTCTTACATGATACCTTTCAAGAGAAATATGAAAACAATTATCAAGAGGATACCTTCGATGCAGAAATCCCAATTTCCCAAATATTCCAAAGTGTTGAGAGTTTACTGTGTTAGTCAAATTGGGACCACACTATTGATTCTTTAGCACATTTACTACAAATAACAAAACGTTGATCTTATTGCTGATGACCATTTTCCATTTCATATCTCAATATTTTTGAAGTGCTGTCCCTATCCTTGTGTTTGGTGGCCATTATAGTTCATTGTTTGCCTAAGAACACACATGCAAATAAACAAAACACAAGCAAACTAAGAAACAAATTCACCACTTTGACAACATCATAACAACAATAACTCTGATAAAGAACAAACTGTATGGTATAATATATAATCTGCTATACAATCAAAATCATTGCAATCTCTAAATCAGTGCATAACAATTGACCCTTACTTTTTTTCACTGTAATGGACACTAACGCATCCTTTGTTGCTGTATCGGGGAGGATGTGTAAAAGGAAGGACGTAGTTGGAGCTTTCTCCATTGCTCCATGCCAATTCTTCGTCTCTTTTTTTGTACAAGCCGATCCAGGCATGATACTTCTCCAAGTGCAAACTGTCTTCATCAGTCTGGGTTTTGATGGTGGCCAAGTCAGTGTTATGAGCTGTGTTTGAACTGGACAAAAAAAAGGAATTTGAAACACAATCTGTAACAAAAAGAATGCACATGCTAACGTTTTCTATTCCACAGTAATCTCAAAATGTACCAAGTCTAATTGGATGACTTTAGTTAAGCACACATTTGGTCATACGACAAAGTATTACAATCTTATTTTATTGATTTAAATTTGAGTATTGTGCTACAGGAAAAGTTGAAGGATCACCAAAGTACAAGGACATGAATGTTTGTAGCAAATATCATGAAAATCCATCCAGATATGTTTCTCTGAAAACAACTAATACCAACCTCATGGTTAGACTAGAATACATTTAGTAGGATGTCTATAGTTAAAAGGATTTCTCCTTGAGGACCATGAATCCATCAAATTAAAAACCTAAAATGTTTCTGTCTTGACCAAAGCGCTGGTCAGTCCTTAGCGTCTAAAATACGTGTCACTCGCATGAAATTCCGTTTAATCATTTATTGTTCCAGGTGTCTTTATGATCCCCTGAACATTTTCATTCTGTTTTTATTCAATTTTTACATTCAAGTCTTACTTTTTATAATCCCAATAACAAATTCTCACTCCCAATTGCTATGTGAATACAAAGTAAATCCCCACTTCCTGCAGTAGCTTTGAGCCTCTTGCCAGTTGAGATGCTCTTGGACGTAAACGTAATATCTCTGCACTACTGATCCTAGTCCGGACACAGTACTGCTGAGGAGGAGGGGGAGGAGGAGGGGGAGGAGGAAGGGTCCTGAGAAGCCGCTCTTCATCCTCTACAGAGTTCTGTTGAACAAAAAGCATCATTTAAAACCCTGAGGGGCTATTGCTTGTAGTGAGAATAAACACTAAAAGTTGCACAGCTGATGAATGTAGCAATGGATCTCTTAATATCTCAGACAGTATATCTGTGAATATTGTGATTTTGTATAAAGAACTATGGCTCGTAATTGTATAACGACCTGTACAAGCAACACATAGACACAAAACAACTTCAATCATTGTCAACCACCTTACTAAACATTTAACTGAGCCCCAGTGTTAATGTGTTGAATCAGAGTTACCTGTATCAATGCTTGTTTTGGCGTCTATTGTGCTGCAATGTCTTCAGTTAGAATCACCCGTCGCTGCTCGATGAGCGACCAACGTCCAGCTGATCATCAACAATCTTCCAGTTTGACAGATCAGAACAACCATTTGACCAGCAGGCACAATTATATAAACTGTTTGCTCAATGTCGCTCCATTTCCATAAAATATTTGACTGTTGGAGACAGGGAGGCATGCAAAAACAAATCTGCTGCGTCATTGTAATGTTTAAGTCACATCGAGAAGTTTTTGTTAAAGTTCAGTGAAACTGTGACTGAACTTAATTATCTTGATTTAATTATAAAATAAAATGTAATAAAAAACATTTTCATTTCTGAGAGAGTTGACTTTAGCTGAGAGGAACTAGTGACTGACACAATAAAATAAAGTGCATAGTCAAGAGAGTAACTTGAGTTTGAAGGTTGATCAGAAACATTGTAGAGCTGTTTAAAGGCCAATTAGCAAAGCACATCACAAAAATGATTTTGTTATAATCCCGTCCTTACAGTCTTCAGGTATGGCTGAAGGGAACATTAATCAAATTTGTTTTACACAACATTTTTATATGGGTCAATATCATTATTGGATGTTTTAAGCTCAAATAGCATTGGGACTGTAATGTGTTGTCCCTGTGTACATGTTAGGGTTTAAATTTAGCTGATGTAATTTTGCAAAGTTTTAATAAATGTTTTGTAATCAAGGCTTTCTGTTTCTAAAGTTTAAATGTGTTTTTCCTACTTTCATCTTTTTGATTCAGTCCTTGGTTTCCATTATTGGCCATAAAACACTTATCACGTGAATTTCTTTATATATTTTTGAAATCCAGTGGCGGAATGCAAATTCTACTACTGCAGTACTTATAGATGAGGTTGTTTTTTCGTTTAAGGTTAACTTGTACTATTATTATCCCATCAAATCTCAGAGGAAAACATTCTTCAGATCAGACTTCTATCATCATTTATTTGTAATCTTTATAAATAACTTAAGTAAGAGGTGTTCCTTTTATTGTTGAGAAAACTACTCAAAAAGTCTCTAGGATTAGCTGGAACGTGCAAAGCAACTAAGCTTTTTTTAGTGTGCACCCTCTTAAGAGTTTGTAGTCGGTGTAATCTGTTTTCCTTTTATTATGTTTTTTATTTATTATGATGGTATTTATGTGTGCATGGTTGAAGCTATGTTTATATCTACTGTATGAGCATACATGCATGGGTGCATTATGGTATTTTAACAACACAATAACAATTGAACACTTATCCTTTGATAGCATCCCATGCTTCTCTTTAAAGTTATTTATCAACTGACTCACCGACTACAGAACTACCTTCACTTTAAACATATGAGTCCAGTGCTACTTATTTAGACAACTGTTAAGGCTTTCTTGTCTTAAGTTTTTACAACTTTTCTGTTAAATTTCGGTGTTCACATGTCTCTGCCATCTCCTGCCATTTTATAGAGATTTGTGAGGCGTTTACCTACTAAGTCAAGAGTAGGTATAGAGTAGACGGTTAGTCCATACGAGGCCGAAACGGAAACGCGGATTCGGAGCCCGAATCCGATACACTTTGATAACGGCTCCCAAAGTGGGTAGGTCTGGAAACTAAACGCTTGCAGCTCTGTGTGTACGCCCTATACGATCATTTCCTGAAAACGATGACGCTATAGCCCCGCCTCTCCTGCTCACCCCCGTGTCAATGCTGATGTGTTTCGCCAACAACAACAACAATGGCGGATCACAGGGTTGCGTTCGTGCTCCAGACGCTACTGACCATGCTACAGATTTTTGTGCAAAATCTGCAGCTCCTCTACCACAACCATCAGCAACAATAATAATATAACATAATATTAATAATATTAATAATAATCGTTATCGGTCTTATCCACTGCTTTTAGTGTATTTTGTGGCTGAAGTACAGCGCCACTTACAGGCCCGGCATATGTACTACAGCGCCTCCAGCGTTTGAGCGTTTTCGTGTGAACGGACACGTTTCTTGAGCCGATTCCGTGTGGAATACCTTTTTGAAAACGACTTCTGTTCGTTTTCCTCTCCATTTCGGGCCTTAAACTAAAGAGATTTCCCTGCAAAGCCCCTGCCGCCAATCCCGATCGGCATGCACTTTGCCTTCCAGCCATTCCTGCGACAGATGACCAGCTCCTGTACTTCAATAGCGATCTCTCATGGGCCTCCTCCAAGCCACCGGGAATCTTGAACAATTATTGGTTGCTGGGGTACTAGGAAAACGTAAGCCTTTATGAAGGTGTACCTTCATAAAGTACCGGCCTTGCCCTTGAGCCACTGGGCTGAACTCACCTCTTCAGTATCGGCCTCTTTGACCTTGTTCATTACGTTATCATGGTGTTCTGGCTACACGCTGACCAACTCAAAGCGGATGCTGGAATTGTAGGGGGAATTAAGGGCTCTGCAGTGGTCCAGTGCATCCCTCCATGTTTTGTTCTCCTTTACCAGGACCAGGTTGTCCCTAATGCAGACGAAGGGAAACCGGTCGGAGCAGTTTTGGGTAGCCATCTTTTTACCTAAGGAGGAGATGGAGACACAGTCGCTGTCGTTTCCCGTCTCATTTAATGCCCAGTTTCAGTAATCCGACAACCCTGTGCTCCACCTCCAAGTTTCACCTGCGGAAAAGATTTTGAAATTTCATGTTAAAGTCTGTGTGTTTAACTGATCAAATACATTTTCCATTCAAGCATCAGCTTTATGGCTAAAGCAATGGATGAAGTGTATGGAGAAAAATTGAATAGGTCAACATAACAAGTTTTTAAGTATATTTTATGTGTTTCAGGTGGTGGAATAAGTTCATTATAAAATCTTCAGCTATTTATGAAAGTGACTACACTGATTTGGGGCCATCTTCAAAACATTTTACGAATGGATGAGTTTTTGGAGTGAATTCATAAGATTAGTTCATAAAAGCACACAGGGTTGCAATTGTGTTTGTCTTTACCATCTCTGTGCAGTCCAGTCCAGACTTGAAAGTCTTGTTCATTGATATCTGAATTCAGATCGATCGGAGTTATTTCTGAAAGTTGCCAGATCATCAAACTCACTCCTGCAGTACTGCTGGGCTTCTGACCAAGTCTTCGATTGTGGTATAAATATGTAATTGAAGTGGTCCCCATGTTGCTCGTGACAGTAGAAGTAGTAATAGTAATCACAAGTTGTTCCATAAAACCTTTCAAAAGAAATATGAAAGCAATTACAAAGAGGAAGAATTAGATGCATAAATCAACTGTGTCCAAAATAAATTCCAAGGTGTGGAATTTGACTATGTTAGGAGCATCATTTTGTTTTTTTGGGTTATTTATCTACTTTCGTAAAAAATTCAAATCAAGAATTTTGAGTGCTTTCCCTATTCTCCTTTATGGTGGCCAATAGAGCTCAATGTGCTGCAACTTATGAAAAACACATGCAAATAAACAAAAGACAAGCAAACTAAGTAACACACTTCCCAACACATCACCATTAGCAGCATTAAGAAACACAAAATCCATCCAAAACACAAGCAAATACCAAAATGCTGCATTTCATATAAAACAATAGAACTAGTAAAACCTCAGACATAAGACAAATTAAAGAGCATCTTGCAGGTTGTGGTTTTTTCTACATTTATGCTTAAACTTGCTTGAAAATTACAATTAAAAAAGTGAATGTAGGATTTGATATGTTTTACAAGACATAAGGGCAGGAATTCAGAGGGAAAGGAGCAATTTTGAGCTCTGCTCTTAAAAACTGCTTTTTTTAACGTCATACGTCAAACGCGCCATATTACGTCACATGGGGGAGCAACTTTCTCGGACTCGTTCTCTGCCCAATCCGCGGTAGTAGTTTGTAGTGGTTGTGATTTAGTGAGCTGGCATTTTTTCGGTAATTTTACATTGCATTTCACCATTTGTAATCATGGTGAGCTTGAGTTTGTGCAGGTTGCACAAACTCAAGCCTGTCAGGGCATCGAGTCCACAGTTTCCCTCACGGGAAAAGGACCGGAGCTAGCGTTCGTTCCTGCAGCACATACTCCGTCTCCACAGCTTTATCAAGAAACCGTATTACATCTCTCCCCCCCTCCTTCGCTCCTCTCTCTCTCCCCCCTTCGCTGCTCTCTCCCCCCTCCAGTACACGGCACCGTAAGACGTAGTGCAGGGGTACTCAAATACAAATCTTAAAGGTCCAACATTTTCTTTTCAATAAGACAAAGGTCCGTTTATTACGGTCATTCACACGAGGTTGCAAAAACAAAAATAATCTGTATGCAGCAGTTTTCATTGTTATTGTGTCTGTGCTTGATCCCTCAGGGTAGATTATTTTTGTTTTTGCAACCTCGTGTGAATGACCGTAATAAACGGACNCCACTCAGCTGGACAGTATGCGTTAAAGTTTGAACTGAAGACATGTACATTTGGAGAAAATGATAAATAAAGATGTGCAAACTTAAAATTACATTATAATAACATAAGTATATTGATTTACGGCCCAAAAAGATATTGCAAATTAGGTATTTTCAAGAACAACAGTAGCAGTAACAGTATGAATTGTAGTTGTAATATATGACAGGTGATTAATCATAATTTCCTGCAAACATAAAATCAATACTTTGACAATTTATGAATTATATGATTCCTTAGTTGTTACTTGATGTCACCAACATTGTTATACCTGCAGGGGGCGCTTTCCATAAAAGGATTGGCAAGATATATCGACGAGTGATTCGGCGGGGTGAAAAAAAGTTTGAGAAACACTCCGCTAGTGGATTGTCAAAGGGGGAGCCTCGTTGCGGGGAAATTATACAGATGGCTAGTCCGCCCCTGAACATTTCTATGCAAACGTTATTATTAATAATAATAAAAATATATATAGCCTATATATAAAAAAAAGTAATCAATTTTTTTTAATAATTTTTTTTTTTCATTTTTATTTTGTAGTCATCTCGCGACCCCCACTCGGGGTGTCGCGACCCCCACTTTGGGAACCCCTGACCTAATGCAACTCCACACTAGGGTGCTGACCGGAGGGGAGACGCGAGATACGGCTGATACTTGACGATCTGACGGAGAAAGGTTGTGGAGCCTCCGTTGATATGCCGTTGTAAATGGCTTGATGGAAAGCAGTTGTGTAGTCGGGGAGGGTGCACAGTTGATTGCAGGAGGTGAGTGGAGGTTGAGCCGGGAGCCAGGAGTGACAGCCACCACGCCCACACAAACAACACAGACAGGGGGAAACAAACAAACACAAAGGAGACG